GACAATGTGAAAAATAAATATTAAATAATTTATTTGCAAAAGTGCAGATGGTGGTTTTTGCCTCAGTTCCCATATTTTCTAATGGATGATTAGTTACCAACTTGTTGACTCTATTTAGAAAGGGATTATGAATTTACAGGAATGACAAGCTTCAGTGTAGAGTAAATGATGAGTTTCATATTTCTTCCACCACGTCAGAGTTTTTCTGTTTATAATGCTTAGACAGCTTATTTTCATAGTTAAACATACAGCATTGCAAAAGATGGGTATGATTTCCTCTTGCCTGAAAGGGAGCAGCTCTCTTAAGCTTAGTGGTTAGTGAAGAATTTTTCTGTAGAAGTGGCTTGAGTTGTAAGAGAGTTTTTCTGAGAATGGGATTTCCCAAGACTACGAAATCCTTGGGTTTAGAGAGAAGGTTTTAAGGGGAAATAGTATTTGCATGTGACCACAGACCAGCATATCAAGGCTTGTGTAAGAATTTGATCTTAATCTTGAAAAGCACAATGTAATGTTTTTAGCTGTTATTTTATCAAAAACTTTTGGGAGCTAAACTGTAATAGTGCCCTTCTCTTACCTATAAGCCATAGCAATCTTGGACTGTAATAAAATGAAGTTTTTATATATTTTTTTTTTCAGATTGAGTACTTGCCCAGTCTTGAGTAGTTTTTAATAGCTGACAAACTGTGGGCTCCCCCAGAACGCACTGGGGTTCATTCAGGAGTTGCTGCTCTGGTCGTCCTGAGCACTGTGAGGGACAGTAAATGCCCTGAAGAGGCAGTGCCATCATCCTCCACTTGTTTGCATATTAAGGCACTTTTTGGAGCAAATAACTTTGAATTTCAGTGAGAAGGAGTGTATCCTTCTCAGTGGGCATAACAACAGCGCAGCAAAGCAGGATGGGGAATGACTGAGCTTTGAGAGTGTTGCATCTGTCTGTGAGAGTGTACCTGAACCTCGGAGTCGCCATGAAGGATCTACCTGACAGTGGGGTGTCACTAGAAACTGCAGTGAGATTTATGAGTGGAGATTTATGAGTTTCTCAGTGGCACAAGTGCCACCGTGGGTGAGCAAAGTTCCCTGGTCATACAACAGTTCACCACAGTTCAACATCCTGACTAATACCACTAAACCTTCTGGGTGCTGATTTGGTAACGGAGTCCTATCCTGACACTGATTTCAGAGGGCTTTGAAAGAGTTTCATGGGGGGGTTATATCAACATGGGTGGCACTCTACTGTATGTAGCTGTGAGCTGGGCTTATTTCAGTTTTCAGTTCAAGAGGTAACTTAAAATTTCCTCTCTTTTCCTCATTTCTGTGTAAAGGAACAAGTGTTAGCAGTTTATTCACAACTAGTGACATTAGGTACATCTAAGGCATGTATGTAAGATTTTCTTCCAAGACTAGGTGATTTGGTCTTGGATGAGCACAGTGGATGTTTTACTGGGGCTGTTACCAGTTGGGTTTTAGCGGTGGTGATCTCTCCATGCTTTAAATGGTTTATGAATGTGTAGTGTATACAGAGTGCATCCTGAGGCTGCCTGACTGGTGGCTGCTTGGGCACACTAAATTTTTTGTTATAACAATAATCTGGATTTCAAACGAAAGGAGGTGAAAGAGCCAGAGTGACGCTACACCATTACTTGTTCTTAGTGATTCGTAGTGTCAGTAGGGCTGTGGTTTTATGGTAACAATTTGGCAAAGTGCCAAAGATTTGAGACCAAGAGGAAATACAAATGAATTACAGGACCTGCCATAGTGAACTTTACTCCAAATAAAGTGACGTATTTGAGAAATTAAAACAAAACAGTAATAAGAGATCACTTGCTGAGCTGAGTAGATTTTCATACCAGCAGATATACTGCATCTTTTTCTCCTTGTGGCTGCATTCAAAGCAGGAAAGCCCTTGAAGAGACCCCCTAAAGGCTATGCACAGCAGAGGCTTGTGCAGCACAGCTCTGCTGAGCTGCTCAGATTCATAAAGCCAGCTGGAGAGACAGATCACTCAAAATTAAGTAATGAAACACACATGCGCACCCACACCCTTAACTGTTGTGGAAGGAAAAGAAGTGGATCTAGACTGTATGTTTAGAAGCACTGTGAAGGAGGCACTTTGTGAAAAAACCCCCACATTTCTAGGATGTATTTGCCCTATATTTGAATGGTTGTGGTATATTTTCCTTTCTCCTGCACTGGAAATAATTGGGGCCAGATACAGGCAAACTCAGCATCCAAACTTTGTACATAAATAATGCAGGCTTCATCTGCCTCTTTTCCTCACCACAAACTTCAAAAACCTGCAGTCTGACCCCTTGTATTTACCCAGGGAATTGATTTGTAAATAAATGAGCTGCAGAAAACTAAATATTTCTTCATTTGTTTTGTAGCTGGGATACAGAGGAATTGAAGTTAAATGACAGCCAAAACACACAGCAAATCAATGTCTGCATGAGATTTGTGTGACTCCATCTCTCTTCCAGAGAGGCTTTGACAGACCTTCTCTGAAGTCAGATTAGAGAATGAATCAGTGGAAAAAATCTCAGAAGATAATTTTGTGCAAAAATAATCCATGGAGATACATTTCTCAGAATTATTTTCAAGTTCTCATGAAAAAATGCTTTTGTCACCAGAATGACTTTTTGTTCTAAGTTCCTTTTGCCCATCCCAGTGTCCCTAATTGCAGTTCAGTGACACACTTAAAAAAAGAGACACAGTGGGTGTCTAATGTGATGCACCACTGGTTACTCCGTTTGCAGAATTCCATGCGCGTAGGAGTTGTCAGTAATACATAGCATAGATTGCTTACATGTAAAATCTGCTGATAGCCAGAGAGGGAAACAGATTAAAAATCAGCCACAACCCTTAAGGAAACCACCCTACCTACTGAAGTCATTCAATAGGAGGAGTCATGAATTGCAAAAGCTTGACAACAGCTTTACTTTCTTGACTTCGTTAGTGTCATGCAGTTGTGTTAGAAATCCAGCGTAAGGAAACACTCAATTTACCACTTGTCTGTGGATATTCCATATTGCTTTTCTCCATTTCCACATGCTGAAACTGTGTTTCTTCATCTGCTTGATATACTGGGTGAAATCAGGTAAGAACCATTAGCTTATTTGCAATCTTGGCTTCAATCAAACGTTAAAAAACCCCCGAATCTTCCTTGATTTAAATTGGCCAAAAGATTAAGATTAAATCTTTTGAATTATGCTTAATGGAGCAGATGATTAGTAAAGAAAATTCAATCACTTTGGAACGGAGACATAGGTTTTCATTTTAAAATAAATAGAACAAAACCAAAGCCTGATACTTTATCTCTGGCTGGACTTTGCCCAGGCACAACCAGGTATGTGCACTTTGTACAAAGCAGACATAATTGTGAAACTATATACTTAATATAGTAATATGAGTTAATTGTTTATTGTTGGTTTGACAGGGGGAAAGGTTTTCTGGTTATGTGTTATGCTTTTAAATAGCAAAACTTAGTTACATAAAAGACTTAAGATTTTCCCCTGTTCAACCACAGAAGATACTTAAACTGCTTACAAGCCTACGCAGGAATATTAAAATTATCTATTAACTTAAACTGCATGTGTCACAGCCCAGTGCCTGCGTGGATGTTCTGACTGTACAAATACCGTGAGTACTCCAACAAGTGTTCTCAAAGGGCACCTGAGTATTCCTTCCAGCATTCAGTCAGATATAAGAATTTGAAAAACCTTCCTCAGTGACTCCCCACTAAACAATTCAAAGTACGAAATATTTAAATCTAGTACTTATGTAATTCCACAGTAAAGATACTATATTTTCTTTTTTTTTCTATTTACTCTTCAAATAATTTCTGTCATTTCTCCACCATAAGTAAATAAATTGCTTCCCTATGACTTTTGCCAGATAGTAAATAGGTTTTGTCAGTTAAAATAATTTCCTTGTGATAGATTTCTCACTCCTCTGGACCAGACTGTGTCTGGTTTATCTCACTGTCATTTCACTGGCTTTAGAAGAAGTTATTTTTATTTCTACCAATCAAGTGATAAAAAAAATCAAAATATTTAAATGGACATGAAGCAGTATCTTAGCATTACTCTTTTATATGTTAGATACAAAGGGGTAAATTATAAGAATCAGTGACTAAACATTTTTTTAAGGACAACACTAGGCAAAATTGAAAGAGTTTTAATAATACTTTGAATCCAAGTAGCAAAACTGTAATCAAGTGATTGGTTTTAATTCTAGCTTTCTAGATGGCATTAAGGTAATACAATTTATATTTCAGTTTTAGCATCACATATAATTATATGAAAACTAGAGATCAAATGTGACACATTATAGTAACATCTCATATCATGTCACATGTATGACATTTTACCAGGTTCTAGATTATCATTTTCATTAAATTCAAAGTCACTGCAGCTGAACAGTTCTCAGTTTCAGAACATCTTTTGGATAAGTTCAGGCAATGAAATTAATTGCCTTCCTCTATCACTAGTTAGTTAATAACCTGTCCAGTAATTTCAGTAAAAGTTACTTAAATTTCTCAGTGTCTAAATGAGGGGAACAGTGTTATTTATTTTGAAATATAAGTAATTGCACCTTTTTTCACACCTAATCATTGCACTTATTGTCATAAGGTGATGATAGTCATGAAACTGTTGTTCGGTTGATTTGAGGCAGGCAGTTTGAGGCTATTTTTAACTCTTTTTAAAACTTCAAGCCTGGTCTGGTTTGCATATATCCATTGTTTTTTGTGATGTCTAGTCTAGAGATGATCATTCTAGTCATTGTAGATACATGGTTTGGTATTTTAGGTGATTGGTCTAATTCCCTAAATTAGTGTGTTGGTGTCTTTAGTGTCTTTACTGCACTTTCAGTGCCATAATTCACATTGTTTAGCTTTGCTTAGATCTGAACTATAGTACTGAACGCATTTTTCAGATACCTTGTAAGCCACCTGCACTTGCCCTTCAGAGCTTTATAGGCTGGTGCAGGCTCACTGTCCTTCTGAGATGTGGTGGATTTGGTTCTGCCTGCTATGTGCTTGCTGGGAAAAGGAGAAGAGCTGGGAAAAGGAGAAGAGCTAGAACTTGTGACTCAAAAATTCTGAGAAATTCAGGTTACTTTTTAAATTATTTTTTAAGGAACTGAATAGGTACTACTTCTCTTCTGACTTTTGCTTTTAAGAAGTTGACTTGTTTTAGGAGTATTTTAATGACAGAGGAATTGAGAAAGGTGACATCAAGAATCAGACAGACAAAAGCTTTGTGTAAAGTAATGTAGCCCACTGGAAGTCAAGAGATTGGCCTAAATTTCTTTGGCCAAAAGTCAGGTAACCATAGTGAAGATGAAGAGGCCTTAGAGAAGAACTGTGACAGGAATCGGTGCTGTGCCAAGACCTGAAGTTGATTTATCCACACAATGTGACCTCAGCAGCCAAAGGGTACTTTTTAAAGGGTTAACTTTTGTTGCTGATCACCAGACAGGGGGAAAATTAAGTCTTTTGATACTTTCTTGAAAATCTTCACCTGCTTGTTGAGTAATCTACAGCTCAACCTTGTACATCCCAACTATCCGAGTACAGACAGAAATGCTCAATACTGCAGTTTGGCTTGTGCCATTATGTACATGGACATTAGAGTCTTATTTTTTCAAACTCAGAACAAAATCCTTTGTTTCTTCCTTTCTTGTTTCTTGGTAATGGTGCCCTTATAGCAATCCAAAACTAGGAAAGGGCTCTGGTTCATCCCCATGTTGTCAGGCAGCTGTTTCTTACTGATAGGTCAAAAAATTAAGGTCTAAGGATTGGCAGCTCTGCCATTCTGGCCCAAAGAGGAAGAAATAACCACACCAGTCTTCCTGTTTATACAACACCCCAGTTGTGAAAAAATTCCGAGAACCTAAATTTGATGGTGAAGTAAATGATCTTGTCAACACTGACTACCTATTTGTATCTGTATGGAGAAAATATATTGTTCTGAATAATTAGAATAATTCTGTATTTGAAGGGTTGAGAGGAGCATAGTGGTATCTGCAGAATCAGTAGTTAAACTGTGGCTCCTTGTTGTCCAGTGCACTTTTTGTCACCTCATTCCAAAGCTCTGGAGTGAAAAAAATGGAAGTTCTTCACTTTCATCTTACAAAATATGAAAAGTGAAGAGATGGTATTTCAGCTCTTCTGACTCATCAAATGACAATAACATTTTCCTCTTTTTCAGATGAGGAGCAAAAATGTCCTGAATTTACAGATCTTAATATAGGCAATGCTTTGTCTGGAACAGAACTCCGAGTGCAGCTACTCCTATACACCAAGGAAAATCCCAATTGTTCTGAGAGACTCATTGAGCACAATGTTACCTCATCTGAGTACTTTAATACAGACAGGAGAACTGTCTTTGTTATTCATGGCTTCAGACCAACGGGGTCTCCTCCAGCATGGCTGGGTGACATGAAGGATCTTTTACTATCTTCAGAGGATATTAATCTCATTATAGTTGACTGGAATCGTGGTGCTACAACTGTGAATTACATGATTGCTGTTGAAAACTGCAGAAAAGTTGCAGAAATACTGAAGAACTATATTGATCAGATGCTGGTAAGGCAGAGTGTTGCGTCTGTTCTGAATAAGTTTCAAGAGACTAGTTTAGATGGGAATGGATATTTAAAATATCTCTAAAAAGAAGTCCAGTAAACAGTGTCAAATGGTATTTCTTTACAGAAGTATTTACTGAATTTACATGCCTTTATTACTGCATATCTCTAACTTCACCAGAGTTCTTATTTCCCTTTCACTGAAGTGTGTCTGAGAGTGTATCTAATTTCTTTAGCCAGTTGGAAGTTTTAGGTCTTCTAGAGAAAATGAATGCACCAGTGGGGAGGTGAAGGGAGAGATATTCAAATAATATGCAGCATTCAAATTTTACAAAGGCGTTGCACTAGTCTTGTTACTCCTAATCTAATATAATTAAATTTCATTTAAATAAAAAAAAATTAACAGAGGTAGAAATATTAATTCAAAAATCATATAAACTTCTTGACTCTAGAGGAAGTTGCTGAAGCAATAGTTGATGTCAGTGGTCTTAACTGGGCTTTTGATTTTTTCCTTGATCAAGTGAACAAAACATTATCCTCTTGTTTGTGCTGTTTATCAGGTGCTTTCTTCCATTCTCACCACTTCTTTTCTCAGCCTTTATCAGAAATTTTCATTGCTGTGCAGTAAGAAAAGATTCATGTGGAATTTGAGCAAAAAACCCTAACATTTTGAGAAAGGCTGAGGTGAAAGAAGAGAAAGCCTATCAGAATCTGCCCTCTGGGACTAGATAGAGAGATAACAATTTGTAATTATGCCAGTAAATTTATTGATATGGAATTTAAAAAAAAAAAGGGCTATAAGAACAGTATCCAATCCAGAGTTAGCTATAAAGGTGTATTTTGCAACCTTCTTGATACAGATATTAGGTTATTTGCTGGTTATAGATTTGCCTGGTAAGACAATGACAGCATGTGCAAGTCGTCATGACTTTCACACTTACAAGCTGTTGGGAGGCCTTTCTTAATTTTCTGGCGTATTAATATGCCAGATGCTGTGTGTCATCCCATCATTTTACAGGGATTCCAACAGGTACAATGATACTGTTTCAGAATTCAACACTTGTTGTTGTTGTTGTTCTTTGGTTTTGTTTGGGTTTTTTTTTTTGTTTGTTTTGATTTGGTTTGGTTTTTTTTAATACTGCTTGGTTTGTAGAACGGCCATTTTAAGGCTTCCCTGCAGGTGTGTGTTTGGCACCATCATTCATCAGTTGTGTGGCATAAGTATTAGTTAATGGTATTATGCTTGTAATTTATTTTATTGGAAGGATAAAGTAGGGGAAGATTCTTTTTTTCCTAGTTCACAGTTTTGGTTCATCTTTCTTAAATCTGATAAATGTCTTCCTCTTCCCTCCCCTGCTCCCCTTCTAACTACTGTGACATTTCAGGAGAAATGTGACTCAAGCTTCCTTTTTACATTTTACTAGTTAAAGAATTTCACAATTACTACACTTAGAACTAATACCTAATTGCATACTGAAAAGAACTTTGTAATTTCCATTTGTTTTTTAAGTTAGAAAGTTAGAAATATAACTGAGAGTAGTGACAAAAAGTGAAAACTAAATCAGTCTACTGATTTCTGTTCAGTTAACTCTGTGTATGGTTGTGGCTTTGGTGTTTTTTTTCCCATGATAGGTGCATGGAGCTTCTCTTGACTCTATGTATATGATTGGAGTTAGTCTTGGGGCTCATGTAGCTG